TATATATATATATTTTTTTTTTCTCTACTTTTTTTACCATTTGGTAATAATTTCCCTACTACTATACATGATGAACTTGCAACGGGCGGTCTTAAAAGTGCTGTACAACACTTATATTTGTGTAGATTGTTGCATTCTGATCAATTCCTGGCAAAATATTTTGAGATATAATTAAAACATCCCTCATACTTAAACACGAAAATTTTAAATATTTTAAGAATACACATACATTTTGACATTACAGAATTTATATCGAGTAATCAATGTTTATCTTTTCAGGGATACTACAAACTCTTGGGAAAAGGTCGCCTTCCTAAGCAGCCTGTTATAGTAAAGGCCAAATTTTTTAGTAAACGGGCAGAGGATAAAATTAAGGCAGTTGGTGGCGCATGCGTCTTGTGCGCGTAATCGTTGAGTATGTTCTTCCTTTTTTTTTTTTTAAATTCTTGCATTGTTTATGATTTTGCAATGGACTGGAAAGTGTTGAAATATTTCTACAAGATGTAATGTTTGTGTAAATAGTTGCATTCTAATGAGTCAATTATGAAATATCTTTCAAGGAACCTATATAAACAAAATACTAATTTTATGCTCTTTACTTTCAGGATAAGCCTCATTTCCATAAGTGTACTCTTATTATTACAAATACTAAAACTTTATAAAAATATTTAAAAAATGTGAAGATGTTAAGAGTAATTTATGGAAACGAATATATATTTCAATGATAAATAAAATTTTTTTTTTTAAAGACATGTTTTTTTGTGCCTCATAAGTTGTCTCATTCTTGTAGATAGATTGCATCTTATTATATACATTTAAATATATTACATATTTTTTGACTGCGTTAATATCGAACAGACACATTTGGTCTTTTGCATATTGATGGAAATATATAAACAGTTATATTCCCTTTAGAATTCTGAGAAAAATGGATATAAGATCATATATGATCTTATATAATTACACAAATACATTTTTTTTCTCGGGAGGATAATACGCGCGAGTTTTTATTAATAAAAAAAAATTTACTCGAACTGTATCAAATGCATTACGCTAGATGAGGCGGTGGAGGAGGTATTTGCATTCCACCCGCTAGGAGAGCCGGTGGAGGCGGTACCGGATTGAACATGGGTGGTCTAGGAGGAGGCGGCGGAACAGGCACCATCGAACTCAGTCCCGGTCTTATCAGAGGAACCGGCGGCGGCGGTACTTTGCCCACGGACGGTTTTTCGTTCTTGAATGCAAATTGCAAAAAAAATTGTTTTGTGTCCTTGTTCCAGTGAGTCCAGAACTTTCCTTCCGCCTTTTCCACCTCTCTGCTGGGTACCTGTAATTTGTTATAAGCGATATAAAGGCTCAATATCATTAACGGAGAACGATATTTAGAATATTCGGAGGTAGCCTTCCCGAATTCTTACTTTGAAGGCGATAGTTTCGTATGGTTCAGCCGCAAACAGTAGATACTGCCATTTGCGATCAGGTGGCTCGACCCTCTGCTCGTAGGCGGACATAAACCTGTGCCGGGATATCACATTGTCCGCCACTTCCGGATAGTCTACTTGAAATAGTAGACTCTGCTGGCCAGATTCCGGATCGCGCTGCTTCGTAACTCGATAACCAGGTCGACCGATCTTTACGAATTTCTTGGGCTCGACTCGGGGTTTCTCCGGCGCTAGGGTCTGCGGCGCTTCCTTGGCCTCCTTCGCGGCCCTCCTGGCCAGATTAGCCTGATGTTTCTTACCCTGAGTGTGCGCCAGGTAACTGCCCTCGTTGTTATGCAAAGTAAGACACAATTTGCACTCGTACGAGCCCAGATGATTCTTCATGAAATACGGATCCTTGTTCAAGTCGATAGTCTCCAGGGCGAGCTGACGGAGCCGTTCCCGGCGGTCGCGGTTGCTCTCCGACCAGGAGGCGACCCCGCCGCCGCCGGTTTTGCCACCGGGACGATTTTGGAAATCCATCCTCGATCACTTAGAATGAGGAGATGAGATTTTTTCAAAAATCGTTCTTCGTAAAATGTAAAAACAACTGCATCAAATAAGAATGTAAATATAAATAACCTCGTATGATATGCCTATAATGCACTCCGATTCACTCGATTGTCTCACTTGTTACAACCATGTTTGATAACGTCGTTAGATGGGTGATGGGTGTACTAAGTAGTAACGTGCTGAAATCTCGTGCCTCGTGCTCGATTGGTTCGTTCGCTCGTTTGGACAAATTCTCGATTGACCGTATCGCGATACCGCGATATCTTCTTTCCTCATATCGTAAAATATGTTCCTCGTCAAACTAAACTTTATTGTATTTTTTCATCTTTTCTTTTCTCTGCAAAATATTTTATTACTCAAACTGCGGAGATTGTAATACGAGTAACATGTAGTTATCAGGCAATCTGTATCATCGAACCACGCATTTAAAGAACGAGATTATAGGAGAGAATTTGACCACTCAGGACTGGACGGACAGAGATTTCTTTCTTCTTATTGGTAAAATCCTATGCAATCTCGATTTTGGACAATTTTGCCGATGTAAGCATGACAGCTTGTTTCAAGCGTGACAGATTCATATCGTACTTCTCTGTGTTCATTGTGTCTGCTATTGTTATGAGGAAGCACACTTGTTGACAAATAATGGAAGCATCAAGGTTCGACCAGATTTAATACATCATGCATTCAATGTTTAAATTGTTGCTAAAAATCGATTCTATTTCCTGAAGAGAGAAAAGAAAGATCAAGATTATTAATAGAACCACTATATGCTCTATTGCTGTTTCGACGCTAACTACCGAGAATTATGGCTGCGAAAGGCATTCACACATTGAGATTTAATCAGGATCAAGGTGAGCTTCTCAATCTTTTTAATTGGAGGAAGTGTGTTTAAACTACGACATACAATCTTTTCATTGGCATTGTCTCTCTCTTCGATAGGATGCTTTACTTGTTGCATGGAATCTGGGCTGAGAATTTATAACGTCGAACCACTGGTCGAGAAGGCACATTTTGATAATGATTTCATGGGAAGCATCTCCATGGCGGAGATGCTCTGGAGGACAAATGTGATCGCTGTAGTAGGTGGTGGAAATCGTGCTAAATTCGCCGATAACACTGTCTTAATCTATGATGATCTATCAAAGAAGTTTGTCATGGAAGTTACCTTCACCAGTTTGATCAAAGCGGTCAGATTGCGAAGAGATAAGTAAGTTATTTGACATACCACATGTTTCTTCTCGTGACACAAAAGGGGAAAAAGACATCTACTTATATAGGAATGATCTTGCGTCGTAGAATGGTGGTAGCGCTACAGCGAGAAATTCACGTCTTTTCATTTCCCACGCCTATTCGAAGGCTGTTGACGCTCGAAACTAGAGATAATCCGATGGGTTTGGTAGAAATTGCGACGTTTGCGACAGCGCAGAGGCAGCTACTAGCTTTTCCTGGCCACAAACTCGGTAGCGTACAATTGGTGGATCTTGCTGCCACCGAGACTGGAAGTTCCAGTGCTCCTATCACTCTCTCCGCGCATCAGGTACTTTAACAATTAATAACGCGAGCATTGTTTCATTTATGTTTACTATCGCATTCATATGTATACATTTCTATTGTAATGACAACAGGGTGCACTGGCATGTCTGGCAGTTAACGGAAATGGGACCATGATCGCTACTGCGTCGGTTCAGGGAACTTTGATCAGAGTATGGGATTCTGTGCGCAGAAGTTTATTAGTCGAATTGAGGCGCGGTGCGGATCCCGCTACGCTTTATTGGTCAGTGTAAATAAGATTAATATCATCATGCGATGCATTAGCATTTTAAGCTTAACATTTGTTATTTTATTAATGATTGTGTGATATTTTTTTCAGTATAACTTTTAGCAGAGACTCGGAATTTTTGTGCGTCTCTAGCGACAAGGGAACAGTACACATATTCGCTCTGAAAAATACTAGTTTGAACCGACGATCCACGTATGTGAACAATCTTTTGAGTGAACAAATAGTCATTTTCACTGTGTGACATATGAATAACTTTATATTATCGTCGTTTTCAGTTTTTCAAACATGGGCTTTCTTGGTAATTACGTTGAGAGTCAATGGGCACTAGCTACTTTCACGGTACCTCCAGAGTGCGCGTGCGTTTGTGCGTTTGGCACGCACAATTCTGTGATAGGTATTTTATATGAAAAAAAAATTTATCATTGATATGTGCTTTGCTTCCTATCTTTTTCTTCTTCATTTCAGCCGTATGTATGGATGGAACGTTTCACAAATACGTCTTTACTGCAGAAGGCAGTTGCAATCGGCAAGCATTCGACGTATTTCTCGATGTGTGCGACGACGAAGATTTTTAACATAAGGCCTATCGCGCGTTTATGAATAAATACAAGATTATTATCGTTATAAAACAGTACTTGCAACGAAATTTCTCTAGTCGGTTTGCAAACGAGATTTCTTGTATGTGATAATTGTGCAGGTACAGGTAATCGAGTCAATTATGCAAAAAGTACACGAGTCATGAAAAAATTGATGTGCCATGTGGCTTTCAACTTTTTTACGACATACATGTGCTTTGCATAATTATAATTATAAAGAGTTGTAATAAATATTGATAGACATATATTTTCTACAACAAACAGGCCATGTAATTATTTTTTACTTATCACCTAGCTTTTATATGAAAAAACTTTACATAACATATACGAAACACTGATTCTACAGGAACATTCAAGTAAATTTTATAGAATAACTTATGTTCATTTGTCCGAAGAGAAGGCTCGTTCTCTATATCTCTCTGGAAGAAATAGATTGCTTGTTACAATAATTAATAAGGAAGTAATAATTATTACAGATAATTAAGTAAATTAACTGTTTAACAATATTTTCAAAAAAAAAACGTGCATACTATATGGCTCAGGATTTAGCATAGGTCGAATCATGGAAGCATAACAGAATACACCTATAAGTCCAACAAAACCTCCGACAAATACACCATATCTCCACCCTCTCAATCGCATAGCTTCCAATTTATGTATACGCAAAGAAACGTGTACGTGAGCTTTAAATATCAATTAATTTTAAACATGAATAGAAAAGTTTCTATCATGGAAAATCACACATATTCCATTTGTTTCCATTTGATTATATCTCCAATCTAAAAATCACATACTATTGATTAAACCATAATATCGCCACAAAAAGATATCGCACTAATTCTTATTGGGGCAATTATATTGTATTAACCATTAAATAATTCAGTTTTATTTGTGCAAAAACTATTGCATATTATATTGAAAATCTCGTGTTTATTTTTGAGGTTATAACAGGAATGGATTAGGAAAAATCCTGAGAACCAACCATCATATGGACGCGTTCAGAAATTCTATTCGTAGATCCGTTCTATAATAAGTCGTATGTCGTTAATCATAAGCAAATTGACCAATCACAGTCGAATGTTCTCGGAATAATCGACTGTGATTGGTCAATTTGCTTACGATTAACGACATACGACTTAAAACTGGTTTATGCAGGCCGTAACTGTTAATTTATGCCGGAACCGTTAAAGTTTAACACTAGGATTACAATGCTTTTGTTTGGTCAAATTTCAATCTTTAATCCTTAATCTCAATCTTTAATGCGTAGTCTGATACGGGCTTTAGGAGCAAAGATTTCTTTGTCCTGGGCTGTGTTCCGATTCCCCACCCGAGTGCACCCGATATTATAGTATACGTGACATATATTATAATTTCGGGTGCACCCGGGTGGGGAATCGGAACACAGCACTGATTGGTCAATTAAATGCTAATACCCTACGCTTCTCTTTGCTACGATTCAATGCCGCTAGGTGGTGAATCAATTTTAGTTTCTCGCAAGTACACTTATAACGATATTCAATTTATAAGATATTTCTTCAAATATCTAAATTGTACTTGCTTCGGCAGTACATATACTAAAATTGGAACGATACAGAGAAGATTAGCATGGCCCCTGCGCAAGGATGACACGCAAAATCGTGAAGCGTTCCACATTTTTTGCTCTCAACTAGTTATTACGATAATTATTAATAAAGTGTGAATCATTTATTTTCCTACGCAATATATTAGATTTGTTTTTTTATAGCTGAACTTTCTACATTAATGTACTAAAAATGATATATATACATATATATAAAAGTAGCAGAGAAAAAACGAGAGAGAAATTATTACAGAGTAGATAATTATATTTATACCTCTATATGTAAATCTTATAAAAGAGAGAATTTTTATTTAAAAAAATTAACCTTTTTTTCAGAGAATTTATAAAATTATTATTTACATATCGATGAGATTTTCGAGAAATAAACTTTGATACATTCGTCTGTCGATTGAACATGTTTTTTTATGAATAGATTAATTTTGAAAATAAATGCACGAATTGCGCGCAATTTTCTCATGCAAGAGAAATTTGCGATTCAAATTATAAAATTTTATTGACCCACGATAATTTATCGAGCTCTAGATTTTCGCGATTTTTAACACGATTGACACAATAATCGTATATTTTCCCATATTTAAAAGAGACCAAGAGAGAAAACTCAGAGAAAAAATATATATTATGAAAGTTTTGTAATTTTAATCAGAAACGAGTATATTTTTTATCGTACACAAATATATACTAGTGTGTTTGGAAGTGTCAAAAGAGAAATGTTGACGGTGTCTCGGTTTCGTCGCCGCATGTGTGATTTTCTTAGGAAACATCACGATCTAAGATAAATACGATCTCGGGGAACGCACATAAGTAGAACGATTAAGCCGAAAAATTATTTCTCGACATTGTCAGAGTTTATCGATAACGATATCCTGTTGAGAAAGTATGCGGACACCACTGCCGCTCCATTGACAGGTTATATTCGCGAATAAATGTGAATCGATCGCAGTGTAGAATCGCGAAGGAAAAAAAGGAAAACATGTCGAGGAAGTGGTTGTCAAATTTCGCATTGGCCGGTACCATCAGATTACTGTTAATGAACTCTGAATATCAAAAAATCATCAGCAATCGTGTCGAGGTGTCAACCGCTCTGAACTCTTGGAAGAGAGGTTAGTTGATTTTTTGTGTGTATTAGAGTTTATAAAGATTATAGAAAGAATATAATTTCGTTTTGATTGCTCAAAGAAATATTTAGCAAAAATAGTTTTATTTTGATCGATTAAGGGGCAGATTTTTATCACGGCAGCGATTTATAGCACTGATTCTGGTCGATTTTTAGTGACTGAGGGTGTTTACTTATACGAATTCGGCATAGATCCCTATGAAGGAGATCTGTTCCATGAGACCCCAATAGGCTTATACGTCTTTAAGCTTATACAGAAGTATTTACCTCAATGGGCATTATTTCTGCTGTTTGTTGTTACTGATTGGACAACTGCTCTGTGCCTCGCCCTTACTGCGAAGCGCTATGCCATTGAGCTGGTCAGTTTGGCATTGAGATGACAGTTGATCTTGGAATCTAGTTTGAATGTTTTTATGTTCGCGATGATCAATCAAAAAGGTGTATAATGTTTATATTTCTATTTGTATATATTACAGGCAACAAAAAGAAAAGAGGGAAAGGAAGATGGTAAGAAACCTATTGATATTCCTGGCAGATCTGCTCTGTATGTTTCTGCGGGGTATTTGTTCAATCCTTACATAATACTGAACTGTGTCGGCCTAACAACGACAGTTTTTACGAATCTACTCTATTCGATCGCGTTAGTATCAATGACGAGACGTTCCATATTCTGGAGTTGCATGTCGATAGCGCTGCTGACACTGCAAGGACTCTATCCTGTGTCGCTCATGGTACCCGCAACCATTTACGTCGCCAGCGCGGCAAGGAATAGGAGGACCAGTATCATTACAATGTTAATCATATTTACGAGTGTCTTAACCGCCCTATTCATCATTTCCTACAGCATCATGGGAAGCTGGTCGTTTCTACGGAACACGATCGGCTTCATACTGACGGTTCCCGACTTACGTCCGAATATCGGCCTGTACTGGTACTTCTTTACAGAGATGTTTGAGCATTTTAGATGGCTCTTTATTGCATCCTTTCAAATAAACGTCAGTTTATTGTACATAGTCCCGCTAGCATTGCGATTACGACGCGATCCAATGTTACTGGCGTTCTCCTACTTAGCGATAGCTGCCATATTTAAGTCCTATCCATGTATAGGAGACGTCGGCTTCTATATATCTCTACTACCATTATGGAAGCACTTGTTTCAACGTGAGTCAAAGAAAATCAGTTTCAAATCATTGCTACAAATTGTTTCTAATTCTAACTTTGCTTTTTTCCAGATATGCAACAGGGATTTATTGTAGGTTGTTTTCTACTATTTTGCTCGGTATTTGCGCCGACCGTATGGCATCAGTGGATATATTCCAGATCGGCGAACGCAAATTTCTATTTTGGAGTAACACTGGCGTTCGCTATAGCACAGATCTTCCTTCTTACAGATATCTTGTTTGCCAGTGTGAAACACGAATTTGCAATACAACATGGTATCAATAAGAAGGTTAATGGAAATGAAGCTAAATTGCTACTTGAATAAAAATAAGATGCTTTTCCAAATATGTATAATACTTTTTGTCGATGAACAATGATACCAAGTAATACAGTATTTCTGAAGCATTTGTTTCATAAGAATAAATAGTTTTTTACAAAAAGTGTTTTTATTAAAGCAGATCAATATGCGCCAATTAATTTTAAGGCATTTGTTATCACTATAAAATCTTGTTCTCACAATGTATCAGGATGATTAGACAAGACTTGTAATCCCAGTTACAGTCATGTTTTTCATGATAAAAAAGGCAAGAATATAAAAAAATTTAATTCTACAATTGTAAAACCACAGTGGAAAAAATCAGTCTAAAAATATCTTGTATGAAATTTTCTGTTTACACCACTATAATAATATAATAATGATATAACTTTTAATTAATAACATTAGCTTATAACATTAAATACTACGATATTTCAGTTATAAATATACTTTATACATGTATCACACATGTATAAAATACCATTTGTGAAAATAATTTTAGGAAAAAATTTTTTATATGAACGTTGTAATTGTTAAAATCGATATTATCAGGATATTATATATTTAAGTGTAACAACTTAATACTGGAATATTGTACTTAATACTGATCATCGATACATGTACGTTACTCTAAACGTACTTAAAGAAACGACATATAAATACTAAATTAAATTATCTGGTATATATATATATCTCGCGATAAACCAACGCAATTAATGTCTTTAAAAACATATCTGTCAATCAGCTATATTTTTTCTATGTTAGTGTTAATTTTTTCTCCATTGCACGCACTAGTACATTGGATAATTCTTCTTTTTTGTTCTTCCCAAGGTCTACAGTAACAGATATTTTCGTCGTATTTAATACGTTACTATCATCATTATTCGCATCTGCTTTGTAATCGCTTATTAATTTCGCTATTTCATTTGGCTTTAATGGGGATTGTTTGAATGGGATACATGCGCCATGCTTTTCACAATATTCCCAGAGTACTTTCCAGTTATCATTTGTGCAAAGAATATCTGGATTGCCTATTATTATCATAAGTGCTTTTGCACGTGTCAGAGCAACATTAAATCTCTATATAAAAAAGAAAACGAACGTGTATATATATATAAACAATATTATAATAATATATAAATATAATATTTATATGTGTATATAATATAAAATAATGTATATATATTAATATAATATATAATGTGTATATGTATTTAACATAATATAAAATACTCAGTACGAGCGTGCGTGCGCGCGCATATTATGAAATTGATTCACATACCTTTGAGTTAGATAAGAAACCAATGTGTTCTATATTGTCATGTTTAAAGATTTTGGATCGTACTGTTGACAATATTATCACAGTTCGTTCTTGTCCTTGAAATGTCTCAACTGTTCCCACAGCTATGTTTTCCAACCGTATCTCTGCTAAGCGATTAATAATTTGTATTTGTTGTTGCTTAAAAGGCGTTACTATTCCGATATCCTTCGGCTTTATCGTACGCCTTCCAAATTTCGTATTAATCAACATTTCCACATATTTTATCACTACTAATACTTCAGCTGAGTTAGAGACACTACAAATTAAATATATTTGTACAATTTTGCAAACAATTATAAAAATATAATTTAATTGCACTTTAAGCTAAGCCAAGTAAAGTGAAATGTATGTTTATAATGTTTAAATTTATTAACCTTTGGGTTAGAGATCTCTCTTCTTTGCCTAGAACTTCTTGAAATATCATGGGAAATGTTTTGTTAGGTAACTTCGACCAATTCAATGCAATTTGTGTATCAGCTCCTCCACAGATTTCCAGTTCTCCAGAATAAAATTGTTTATTTGATACATATAGAAGTTTTTCATGACTACGGTAATTTTTAACCAATTTCGTTATATAGTTTGGATTATATTTTCCATTCTGCTTCTTATATGGATCACAATCATTCATTAATCTTTCCAACATAGATATTCCTGTTGTGAAGAAATTACTTTTGTAATATATATACTGCGCGATATTTAATATCATTTTGGATGAACTTGCCAAAAAGATGTTTGCTCCATTTAGAGCGAACAACAGGTCCCAATTGATAAGGATCACCTGCAATAACAATTTGCGCTTGTGACTCAATTCTTTCATCTTCATGCTTTCTATTTGTTATCATTAGAGGAATCAACATCTCTGGTTCAATCGCTTGACTCGCCTCGTCAACGATTATATAAGAAAAATGATTCTCTCGAAAATTCACAGCACACAATCTGTAATAAAACACTCAGAAAAAAGAGAAAATGCTACATATATATTAAAAATCTAATTAATATAAATAAATATAAGGTAACTTTAAGATAATCCTTTTACTTGTATACAAATTTTATTAATATTATTAAAGAGAAGCCTATTTATATGTTTAAACACATGCTCAAATACTATACTATATACATGAGAAAAGCGAAATATATATCTAGAATACATACCTTATGGATGTTATTAATGTTGTAATAATAATTCTTTTTAATAACAATATCTCTTTTGGCAAAAAGATAGCAGTTTTGTCAACAAAATTTGTACATGGTCGAATTTGTTCATCTATATTTCCCCTGTTTTTAAACAAACGAAATTTACTTTACGACATATATATAATCCTTATTGTTTTTTAAATAATGTATGATGCAACTACTTAAAAAACTGATTATTATTATATAAAATGCAACTATATATTATTTATAATTATAATTATATATATATAAAATTGATCGCATTACATTTATATTATTTTTAGGAATAAAAAATATAGAAAGAAAAAAAAACAATATAAAAGCGAATCTTTTACCATGGTCTAGATGGTGCATACATTCGATACACTATGTTTGCTGGCACATTCCCAATTAATCTCTTGGTAATTTCATCGACTGCTGCGTTAGATGTTGCGCATACCAATATATTTTTCATAGGATAATGTTTCACAATCTATCAATCAAAAAATTAAACATAAAAAAAGAAAGAAAATAAAAAAATATTCTTTTTACTAAATGTTAAATATAAAAAGAAAATGAATTACTTGACTTATAGTTTCTACTAATGTTGCTGTTTTCCCAGTGCCTGGAGGACCAAAAATTATATAAGGTGCTGGGTATGCCGTCTTACTCAAAATCATTCTTACTGCTTGTTTTTGTTCTTTGTTTTTTTTTATGTTAGTATTTATCCATTTGATGTCGCTATATAAGTGTATGTTTGAAATTGTAGTGATAAAAAAGCAATATAAATCCAGATAATAAAATATATAATTTTAAAACTCACTCTTTTAAATCTATACTATTTGTTTTGAGTTTGGGATATATAATTTCTACCAAATTGCGTTTTTGACACATTATCATCAATGCATAATGACAACATCTTAATGGCCAATGTCTACTCCAAAAATTTATATTAAATTTCTTTTGTTTGTCTCTGAATGTTTCTGCATCTCTATATTATACAGGAAATTAATGTGTATCAATATACGTATATGTATGTTTTATTATTATTGTTATTATAAATAATTGTATTATTACTATTATAAATGTGCTAGATTCCTCTATTAATACATAATAAAAAATTGTAAACTTACTTAGAAGAATATGGCTGTATTGTCACTTCATTTCCTGTCACTTTCATAACTCTAGCCCAAATGGTTTTTTTTGAAATGGCTTCATAAAGAGTAACTTTATCATCTGGTATAATTACAGAATTCCCCTTATCCAGAGATGACACATTAATAATGAAACATTCTTTTAAATTGGAACTCTTAACTTTATGATTCAACAATCTATGCCGATATACTTCGCGATCTAATTCAAACTGTTCTAGATATAAACATATTTTTAATATAACCAAATAATCATTATAATCTATCCTTTGTATATTAGATAAACTCTTAATGCATTTCATATAATTGTGACATGTTTGTGGAAGGGTATCGTGTTCCACCAAAGAATATTTTAATGCAAGAGATAAATAATGTGGAACTGTGGTCATTGGTGGCTTAAATATTTGTGCTAATGCAAATGCTGTACAATTCCTAAAAAAATGATCAAATTCTATGACACATACCTAACTAAACTTGATATAAGAACTTAAATATAAATTGCTTAATAAAATAGAATTACAAGCAAATAATTTTCTTAATATGCAAAATATCATACGATGTGATATAAAACATCGTCAAATTATTTGCAGCTTTATATATGCTATACATGATGTTTTAAAAATATAACACTAAAAAATAAATTTATTAAGATATACTATCGTAACATAATTTTTCTTACACAGGGTTCGCCTTTTGATTCTTCGCCATAATATGAAAGTAGATATATATTAAAATTGATGGAATATATATTAAGATATATTAATCTGTCGAGTTGAAAGTCTAAAAGCCATAGGTTCAGAAGATAATTTCATAGAACAGAAAAAAATAGAGATATTACGTATAAAATAATTTCTACTATAATTATAAATCTATTATAATTATAAATCTTTACACAAGTACCACAATGTAAGTAGCTAAAAATTGTATATCAAATTTTATATTAAAAAGAAAAATATATCCTTTTTTTTTATGTAACTCATGTAAAAATCTTAGAAAAAAAGAAAAATGTAACTGATATTTTTTTACGCTTTATCTGTCTCACATATAGAAACAAGTATTATAGTTAATAATATAGTAAATAATATATGAAATACACTTACATTTATGCGCGCTTTGCAAAATAATGAATATGTTAAATATTTGAAGTATTTCAAAATTATATAAATGCTGACAAGAAGAACTGCAAGAAAACGAAGCACTGATTTATAATCTAATCCATGCGACTTCGTTTTGCTTTATAATCTCCGTGTAGTGCCTCATGATTCACTTTTAACGTATCAAACGAAAGAGGGGATTTCCACACACATTGTATAAGAAATCTAAACTATAGGGGTTATGTGACCATGGAGTAAAGAATAACAGGAAGGAGCATTGAGTGCGTTCAGGAGACACAACCGTTGAATAGCAATCGAACGTAATTGGTTTTTACTTCTAGAACCAACAAATCAACGTCGAGTGTTGGACAAGACAATGCTCAAAATGAAATAAAATATGGGTAAAGCGGGGAGCACACACTTTTGCATAAGCGCATAATCACAAGCATAAATGCAAAAGTGTGTGCTCCCCGCTTAGGGCCAATTTCGCCAATCTCGGTTAAGCCCGTATCAGACTAGGCATTGAAGATTGAGATTAAAGATTGAAGATTGAAATTTGACCAATCAGGACAAAGAAATTTTAGTTTCTTTTGTTCTGATTAGTCAAATTCCAATCTTCAATCTTCAATGGTATGTTTTTATAATACAAAACGAATTTTATACGTTGAAAAATAGTATACGAGTATACGAAAAGAAAGATTTAATTTCTAGAATGTATCTACGTCTATTTTATTCCTTAAAATCGTATATTTATGTAATCGAAAAAACGTTTATTGAAAACGTATATAATTTATGAAAAAGATCTTATTTATAAATGTTTAGAAAATACTATTGTATAAATAATATAATCTATGTTTTTAAAACGTCAATAAACTGTTGCACAAAAATAATATATACACACAATGATTTTACAACTAAAATATACGACTAATAAAAATATTTTAAATATATTTTATATTATTTATATTTAACCATATATTAAGCTAAATAGAGATATGTTCTCAACATTTATAATGATTACACGAACTTCCTTTTATAAGTAGTTAGCTCTTTATAAGTAGCGAAAGAGTACGCTATGCTACGTGCGAGCGAGAGAGAACGCAAGGGGCACGAAACAGAGTATGTCCTTTTCTACGTGCATCTTTACCCCCACTCCTTAAATAAAGGCAAACGCTCGGTCTAGATATACTATGTCTATGGGGTAGACTAAAGGCCGTATTAAGCCCGTATCAGACTACGTATTGAAGATTGAAATTTGACCAATCAAGATAAAAGAAACTAAAATTTCCTTGTTCTGATTGGTCAAATTTCAATCTCAATGCATAGTCTGATACGGGCTTTACGGTTAATATTTGCGGATTGACCAATCAACCGACAAGCTGCTTTGCTCTGATTGGTCAATCCGTAATCGTCAAAAAGCATCTCTAGCGTCTTCTCGACCGCAGCCATTGGCCTAGTTTACACCGATATACTTTAATACGTACTAAGTACTACATTGGCCAATCATAGTCAGTCATTCCTTTAAAGAATGGAACGGTTATGATTGGACAGTATAGTATTTAGTACGTATTAAAGTATATCGGTGTAAATTAGGGCCGGTATTCATAGTCCGTTCTTATATTCAAGATCGTCTTAAGTGTGGTCTTGGGTCGTCTTATGCCCGTATCAGACTACGCATTGAAAATTGAAGATTGAAGATTAAAGATTGGAATTTGACTAATCAGAACAAAAGGGACTAAAATTTCTT